ATATATAACGCTTGATGTTTTCCACTTGTACGGAATCGACAAAATGACAATAATATTATAAATAAGTGCCAATTAATAGACTATATTGTTAATTATTAAGTATTACATACTGATAAGTGAGGAAATATTGTATGTTTTAATTGTAATAAAAAAAAATTATAGTACTTTAAGTTGTTATTGGTGAATCTGTGGAATGTACGAGAAGAAAGTGTATAATTAAAAAAAAAAAGAAATAAATAAATGCAGCCTTTGTATGCTCGACGTTCGATTTTTAAAATGTTTAAATTTTATATAAATATAAATTATATATTGTTAATGAAGTAAAATCTTATAACAGAAAAATATTTTTATTTATTTATTTCACCTCATCTATGCATATAAATAAAATTGGAGTATCTGTTTGTAGTATTGAAATAACCGTTTTTTACTACATGCATATGAATATAAATACGGTATATACACCAAAATAACATTTTTTACAGTTTTTGCCTGTCTGTCGGTCTGTTTGTTCCGGCTAATCTCTGAAATGGCTGGACCGAAAAAAATATGTATGTTATTGTGAGTTGTATTTTTTATGCATAATTAATTTTAAAAAATATTTGTAAGTATTCTGCACTCCTCTATATAAACTGCAAGTATGCCATCAGGTGGGGCATCAGCCTACCTGATGGCAGCGAGAGAGAGAGAGAGAGAGAGTTTCGCTCGCTTCGAGATAGCGAAACTCTCGTCTGAGACTCCTAAGAAATAAATACTCCTGAGAAAATCCTAAATTAATTAAGTCTCAAACGTAAAATGATAAAGAAAAACAAGATTATCAAAAACGTTTTAAAAACTGACGTAGTAAAAACGATAAAAAAACATCCCTAAATTAATTTAAAGTTTAAAAACTGACGTAGTAAAATGGACGAGACTCCCCAAATGAATAAAGAAAAGAAAGATTACCAAAAACGTTTTTAAAAACTGACGTAGCAAGTGTCGTAGTCGAAAAATGTTTTTCTAAATCGTTTTCAAAAAATGGAATCACGTTTGATGAAAGAGTTTCGCAGCCAAACTTTACAGACTACATATTGATCGTTTGCAGGCCGCTTTATTACACAAACTGTGTCAGTCCATTGTATGTAGAATAGAATAGAATAGAATAGAAAATCATTTATTCAAATAAACTTACATTGAAGCACTTTTGAATAGTCATAACATTTTTTTTTTAATCTACCGCTCATTTGGAATGCTGTCTCATCACAAGAAGAACAAGCAAGAAACTTGTGTGTTGCTCTTTTAAATAATTTAGTTGAACCTCGTGCAAAACCACGTGCATACCTAGTTTACTATATATGAAATCTTATCCTCGTTACATCTTAAATACCTCTTCTTATATGACAGACATATCATTATACCCCATCCCAAGATTAAGGAATACAGCATCCATAATAATCTTAGATCCCATCAAATTTATTGGACAATAAAAGAAGAGTATCAATAAAAAGGGACAATGTCCTCTGACTATGGCGCTACGGGAATTGCATGACATGATTAATATAATAAATACTAGGGTAACAATAGAATAGAATAGACAATCCTTTAATAAAAAATAATAATTGAAGTACTATTTAATAAAGCAGTATTTAATATATATATATAAATACTAGCTGACTCCACAAACGTTATTTAGTAAAATAAAACAATAACAAAAAACAATAAACCAGAACCAGAAAGAAATGATCATCTGCTTTTTCCTTATCCCATTTTTTTTAAATTACTCCTTCTAACATAAGGGGATTGTCAGTAATGTGGAATCATGACCAATGGGGTCATGATTCCACTAGCAATGTACCATGTCAGGTTGACCTCCACGCGGTTCCCCCCGAAAACCATCGTGATAAATTCCTAGTGAATTTGTCACGATGGGCTAACTGACCTGACCTCATGCTCATCTAATCAACCTCTACTGGTGCCCCGCCAGTGTAAACCGTTAGCGCAGGCGAGTGCACTATTCCATTATGATCCATAAAAAAAAACATTAGCTATCTGGGAATGAGAGTCCCGTCAAAATCGGTGTAGACGTATCAGAGATTAGCAAAAACAAACAGGCAGAAAACATTATTTTCAAATTATTTTTGATAAGTGAAAAGCTTTTAATTTGTTTACAAACATACACTTAAATATGATTTGTACATATGTATATATTACTATTTACGAAGTCAATTCTATTCATTACTCACTATCTAACAAAATATTTAACTACAATCTATCATAAGAAAATCGGTAAATACTTCTATTATATTCTTTCCGGGCCCTGAACCCCGGCCGACTGTGCTTCTGCCGGGGGTATGTTGCCATCTCCTCTCCTTAAGAGGGGAGATGAGAATTTAAAAAAAAAAAAAATAATAATAACAAGATAGACAATATACAAACTACCATTTCAGATAAAGTTTCAAAATATCAGGATCTTGCAATAGAGGTAAGAACACAATGGCGAGCTGATACTGTACATACTGTACCTATTGTACTTTCTTCTACGAGTATTGTACCCAAAACACTTCAAAATAGTCTGCAAACATTAAATATGCATCCATCCAAAACATATCTCTTACAGAAAGCCACAATATTAAACACCTGTCGCATAACCTGAAAATTCTTAACCTCCTCATCTTCACCCAGCACAACCTCTCCTACACTTGGCTAAGGCCCATGTAAATCTATAAAAGAAGAGAAAAAAAAGGAATAAAAGAATAATAATAATAATAATTAATAAATTGAAACTGTATATATTTAATTATTAAAATTGTTTAATATTTAATTCAATAGGTCATTTTTATATTCTATATTGTATAATAGCATTTTTTAATCAATAATCTATTGAGATTTAAGCAATATTTAAGTAATTCGGAAAGTACGTTTATTATATTCTTTCCAGTATCTATTATCTAACTAAACGTTATCTGGCATAAGAAAATAGGTAAATACTCCTATTAATTTGCAAACATTCAACGTGAGCCAGCCCGCGCGTCTCGAGGCACGTTAAGCCGATCATCTCAGCTGTTATCAGGTACACCAGCCACGGAAATGTGCAGGCCTATAGTTGACACTGTCTGGGGTAAAGTTCATATATTTTTTTTAATTAAGTATTTTACGGCCCTGGAAATCTCCTTTCAGCCAAACAATTACATTCTACAAATATAAATCAACTATTAATTACATCTATAGCGTTCTTATAGTATTGTGTATGAAGTCGTATAAAAATGGATAACTTTCTGTATTTTGTAACTTTCTTTTTTATTATATAAACTTATTAAGCCATCTATCAAAATAAGTCTCTGCAAACCAAATGCTGGACATTCCATTATAATATGTTGTAGATCCGCATTTTCTGCTGTACAGTAGTCACAATTTGAAGATCTCAATTTTATTCTATGCAAATGAGCCGGAAACTGGCCATGTCCCATACGAATTTCATTACCGACAGGGATACTAGTTTAGGAATTTCTCTCCCAAAAAAGACGGAAGTTATGTCGAGGCGAGTAATTTTTAAGAACAAAATTGTGGAGAGATAAAGATGTTGAAGGTGATGGATGAAAAAAAATAAAACTTGCTTTGTAGGATGTTCATGTAGGTAAAAAATAATTAAGAATATTTTAAGGGCTCAAATAAATAAGAACTGTGGATCAGTAAGAGTTGTGAATGAACTGCTTTTTTATTGGACGAGTTTTCTTAACAACCTGTATTCTGGACAACATTTGGGGGGCAACCAAGCAGGCCTCTGGCAAAACAGACGATATAGCTAATTTCAATAGGAGTTTTCTCTCCCAAAAAAAAAAAACGGAACAGGACGCGAGTAACTTTGAAGAAACAAAATTTTGGAGCGAAAAATATTGAAGCCAAGGGAATAGAAAAAATGGACGGAATGTTCATGTAGGTAGAAAATAAATAAGAAAATATTTTTAATATTGAATAAAATGAACAAAAACTATGGAACAAGGGACACAAAAAGGGGCCCTAAGGGGTTGCAAAGGAGTGCTTCTTTATGGGCTGATTTAAAAAATATATAATAAAAGAAACCTGAATTTTGGGGAGATTCAGAATATTTTGGAGAATTCCAGAAAGTCCTATGGCAATACTGATTACAGACGGTACGGCAAACTTCATAAATGAAATAAGAAAAAATCTACCTATTGTGGTAGATTTTTAAAAAACGTGAATAACCAAAGGTTACTTGTATTATTACAACTGTTTTCATCATCAACTTCAATACATTGGTTGAATGATTGATTCTCTGCACACGTCTCACTTTCGGAATTGGAGACGTGGTTTGGGGGGATGGAGATTGTTAGTAAGGTTTATCGACGATTATTAGCAATGTAACATCAGGTTGAACTCCATGCGGTTCCCCCTGGAAATCATCGTGATAAATTCCTGGTGAATTTGCTATGCTAACTGACCTGACGTCATGTTTATCTTATCATTCTCCACTGGTGCCCCGCCAGCGTGTAACGTTAGTGCTGATAGGTCCACCATTCTATTATCATCGATTTAAAAAAACCTGTACAGGTTATATGTGGTTGACAGTAATAAGTTTTCATTAATTCATAGATTATTATTAATAATATGTGATTACATAAAAAAATTGTGTTAAGCGGTTTCTATTTTGATTGCCTTATCTTCTACTTGTTAATATGTATTTACTTCGAACAACATTCATTTAAAGGAGCAAAACGCATTTCTTTGTCATTACACTTGTTATGAGATTCCGAATGAGTAATAGAATAAAAAAATATGACTCTTCAAAAGTGATTATTTGAAGTTTGTTTCAATAAAGATATGTTGTATTAAAATATAGTAATTGAGGAATATATTTAATATGTTACGAATATAGTGACATAGTTTCGTGTTTTTTCTACAATGTCAATCAACAGCTAGATAAATTATAAATATGACGTTGGTCTATAAAAAGTATCTATTATACCACATTACTCCCTCCCAATGGAAAACAAAGCTTCTAGTCTCTATAAACCTAATCGTGCTGGTAGTTTCCGCTGGCGTTGCGAACGACGTGGCACTTGCAGCTGCGGTGTTGTGGTAGTGGCAGTGGCGCCACGTGATGTCGACGGAAAAGTTGCATCCTCATCTTGAAACACTATTGGACCCTCAGGATGTTGCGCGCTCGTAGAGGGTATCGGTGATAACTGGTTTCTATAATCACCATGTTGTAATTGATCCTCTGTGTCTATACGTTTATAGTAGTGGGTGTAAGCACTTGTAGGGTCATCATCCTGACTGCCGCTCAATCTTGGACGTAATTGATCGGAATGCTTACGGCTACGAACTCCATTTGAAAACTCCACCTCGTAAGAGTATGGTCCATTACATTTCGTTATTATTGCAGGATCTGATCCCTTTGTCAAGGGCTTATTTACCCAAACCTTATCTCCAAGTTTATATGTTGGTGGGACAACTTCTTTGTTTGTTGGTCTCAACTCCTTATATAATCGCGTTCTTTCTAGATCGTCTCGGATGTTAGGTTTCAATAAATCGAAGGTAGTACGCATTATTCTTCCAAACATCGCTTCGTAAGGGGTTCTGTTCGTTGAACGTCGGGTTGTGTTCCGGTATGCCTGAAGAATTCTGTTAAGGCGTCCATGTATGTCAATATTCTTATCCGAGGCAAGCATACGTTCTTTGAATGTTCGGACAGCACGTTCAGCTAACCCATTAGTTCTAGGGTGATATGGTGTTGTTTTTATGTGTGTTGTGCCAATACTCTGACAGTAGCTTCTAAATTCGCTTGATATGAATTGAGGGCCATTATCTGTAACTATATATTTCGGAATACCGAATGTGGCGAATATGTTGTCTAGACGACTTATTGTTGCTCTTGATGTTGTTGATTTCATTGGTATAACTTCCAGCCATTTTGTATAAGCATCTATTGCTATAAGCCACATGTACCCGAGAAATGGTCCCGCAAAATCTATATGTAATCTATGCCATGGTTCCGGCGGTACTCCCCAAGGATACACCGGTGCAGAGTTAGTGTTGGTTTTTGAAGATTGGCATAATTTGCAATGTTTCGAAAAATTTTGAATATCTTTGTCTATGTTTGACCAGTACACATGCAATCTTGCCAGTGACTGCATAGCATTTACCCCATTATGTCCGTCATGTAACATTTCTAGTATGGCTGATTGTAATTTTTTTGGTATACATAGTCTTCCGTTCCACAGGATAATTCCATCTTCAAATGACAATTGTTCTCGTTTCTCGAAGTAAGTATGCATTTCTATCGGTAGTTCTTTTTTTTCCGGCCAATAATTTGTTATGAAGTTTTTGATTTTGTTAAGGTTTATATCGTTAAGTGTCTCTTTTCTAAGTTTTTGTTTTGTTACGGGTATATTACTCAGTCTAAGATGTAAGAGATGGGCAAATTGGGGTAACCCTGTTCGTTCTTCTATAGTTAAATCAGAGTTTGGCAGCGGTAATCTTGAAAGTGCATCTGCTGGAGTATTCTCCTTAGCCGTGTGGTAATTTATGGTGTACTCGTAACTGTTTAAGATCATGGCCCATCTAAGTAATCGGTTGCTTGCGACTTTGGGTGTTTCTCTTTCTTGACTAAAAATACGTTCAAGAGGCTTATGATCTGTTAGCAAAGTAAATTTTCGTCCATAAAGGTATTGATGGAACTTTGTTACTGAATAAACAATCCCTAATGCCTCTTTGTCGATTGTTGAGTATCGACGTTCTGTTTCGGAAAGAGTTCTGGAGGCGAATGCGACTGGACGCATGATGTTATTCATTTTATGAAATAACACTGCTCCAATTCCTTTATCAGAGGCATCGCTACTAACGTAGATAGGCTGTTTCTCATCATAGTGGACAAGTGTTTCGTTCGATGTTAAAATGTTTTTCAGATCGTTTGTTATTTGGGTATCCTCGCTGGTCCAATCCCATTTTTGGTTCTTCTTCAAATGACGATACAACGGTGCACATCTAACATGTAAATTGTCTATAAATCTACCATAGTATGTAATGGAACCCAAAAAGGATCGTAATTCGGCCACGTTCATTGGAGTTGGCATTTTTTTGATAGCTTCAACTCGTTCCGATGTTGGGTGTAAACCGTTTTTATCAATCTTATGACCAAGGAAAGTTACACTCTCCTGTAACCAGAAACATTTAGTTATCTGACTTTTAATACCTGCTTCTTGTAGCCTTTGTAAGACTGTTCTGACTCGTTTTATGTGCTCATGTCGGTTTTCCGCCGTTATCAAAATGTCATCGAGGTAACATACAACACCATCCAGCCCACTTAGGATTTGATGCATGGTTCTTTGAAAAACTGCTGGTGCAAAAGATATACCAAAGGGTAATCTTTTATACTGGAAGTAACCCTTGTGTGTTGAGATCGTTAAGTACTTCCTGGAGTCCGGGTGTACCAATAATTGAAGGTAGGCGTCTTTAAGGTCTATTTTTGTAAACAATTGACCTCCAGCTAATTTGGATGTAATTTCCTCAAACCTTGGTAAGGGGTAGTCATCAACTTGTACATGCTGGTTGATCGTTACTTTGAAATCAGCACAAATACGTACGTTTCCATTAGATTTAATTGCAATGACTATAGGTGATGCCCACTCAATCGGCGTTACCATTGTATCAATATGTTCTAGAACCCCTCTCTTACTAAACGCTGTAATTCGTCGTTGACTTGGTCCTGTAGGGCCAATGGAACTGGTCGTGGTCTGAAAGCCTTAGGACGTACATTGTTAGGAATATGGATCTTGGCAGTATGACAGTTAATTGTACCTAATTTCCCATCAAATAGTGTTTTAAAGTCCTTTAGTAAACATTCAACCTCATCCTTATTATGTTGTCCTGTTATAGGGGGAATTGTTTTTGTTATGGGTTCTTTTATGTTACAGAGCCGAGCCCCCGGTGGCATAGGTAGGTTGAATTGTAAACACCAATTTAATCCAAATAAAGGTAAGTCATTATGTTTTGTTACATAGGCTGATAATATCTTCACACTATTAAAGGCCATTACGGTTATGTCGCAGATTCCCAGAGTCTCGATCTTGACGTCTGTGTAGGCAACAAGATTCTTACATTTTTTTAGTGTTGGTCGACCAATTGCTTTCCATAACAATTTGCCAATAACTGAGTGTACTGCCCCAGGGTCATATAACATATCAACTTCTATACTGTTAAGTTTCGTCGATATCATAATTTTGCTGGCAGGATTACGAAAACCAACCGCACGAGTGTGTGTGCTCTCAGCATCAGAATCTTCATTTTCGCTATCAGTACGATGTTTCTTTATTGAAACTTGTCTTGTATTATACTTGTTTATTTTTAAATGACCACTACCTATACAAACGCTCGAGAAATGGTTCATTTTATTGCAAGCATTGCATCTTTTCCCCTTTGCAGGACAGTCGTTCAAATTTTGGTGGTATTTTCCTCCACAAAATATACATTTTTTTGAGGGAATGTTTGTTTTCTTTCCGGGTTTTCTATTGTTGTTGATGTTAAGTTTGTTTACAGCTTGCGGTGATTCATTAGTAGTTTCCATAGTAGTATAATTGTTGTTTGTTAAACGTTGACTCTGTATTTCTGCTTGTTCCAGTTTGTTCAGTGTAGCGATAATATCAGCAAGTTTCGAATCATTCGTTGGATGTTCTTTGATGAGTTCCTGTTGCCATGTAATGTTATTAATGCCGATTACTAGTTGATCTCGAATTCGTTCTTCTAGTGTATTTCCGAATTCACAGTATCCAGCGAGTGAACGAAGTTGTAGTATAAATTGTGAAATTGTCTCATTTTCGTTTCTATATCTTGTAGCAAAAGATAACCGTTCGGAGAGAACGTAGGTCTTCTTGCCATAATATTCATGTAGTACTTTAATAAGTTCCTCGTAAGTTTTCGATGTCACGGGAGTCGGTCGAAAATAATCCACAAGTACCTTGAATGATGTTGGACCGATTCGGGAGAGAAGTAATTGTTTTCTCTTATTATTACTATCTGATGTTGTTCCGTCAAGCCCATGAAGTTGTAACTCGATCTCAAATCTTTGTATATAGTAATCCCAGTCTTCTGTATTGTTGTCAAATATATTAAAATTAAAACGTTCCAACGACATCTCGTCGCCAAATTTATGTTGTATTAAAATATAGTAATTGAGGAATATATTTAATATGTTACGAATATAGTGACATAGTTTCGTGTTTTTTCTACAATGTCAATCAACAGCTAGATAAATTATAAATATGACGTTGGTCTATAAAAAGTATCTATTATACCACAAGATATTTTATTTCTAACATTAAAAGAAATAATACTTCTGCCAGTAGATTCTAAAACAATCTACGGAAATTTAGTTATACAAAGAACGGATGTTATAGTCAGTCTCAATATTATGTTTATTTAGGATATAGATTAACAAGACAAACAATAAACAGACGTAGGAACTTTCCATCGCAAACGGCAGTTGACAGATGTGATTTATGAATTTATCCTTCCACAGACTGATCTATCGATCATAATAGAACAAAATATAGTGTTTACAATTGGTTTTATTATTATATTTGCACCTGCTACAATAGGAGAATGTAGGGAAAAGGAACTGTCAGTAATGTGGACTAATGATCCCATTTTTTATGGATGATAATAAAAGGGCACCAGTGGAGGATGATAAGATGAGCATGAGGTCAGGTCAGTTAGCCCATCGTGACAAATTCTCTAAGAATTTATCACGATAGTTTCCAGGGGGAACCTGATGGAGATATTGAGTGGATTACATATATAGCAGTAAATATAATTTACTTTTGTTCCGATCACAGTTGCACGTTACATACAAACTGTTACTTAGCAACAATACTTATTTTAAATGTGATGGATTACACTTTTCCTTTTTAAATCAATGTGCCTAATACGGTTAATCCATTACATTTAAGACACTCTACATCTCTACATTTAAATAAAATATATAATATAAAACAATATACAGAAGAGTAAACAACAGAACAATAGTAGCAAAAAACATATCCAAAATTAAATCTGTTAAAATGTTGGCCTAACTGTTGTTAACCTATCTCCACAAAATTATGAAATTTTAATATAACGGCGACGAAAGGATCAAAATGTAATGGATCGGTGGACTGTATGGGTGTCTAAATGATGAAAACACGTACTTTGTATGATAATAATATATATTAGAATATACTTGCGAATTATACGAAAGACAATAATAGAATAATTGAAATGTATCAAAAAACATGACGTATAAAAAGAACTGTTCTAAAAATATAGATTTAAAAATAATAAAAGTATCAAAAGAGGTTGCCGAGTCCGGTCGCCAACATAATGGAGATATTGAGTGGATTACATATATAGCAGTAAATGTAATTTACTTTCGTTCCGATCACAGTTGCACGTTACATATAAACTGTTACTTAGCAACAATACTTATTTTAAATGTGATAGATTATACTTTTTCTTTCTAAATCAATGTGTATAATAGAACCGCATGGCCGTCAACCTGTGATGGTACATTGTTAGGAATGGAATTATTAGAGGGGAATGGGGATTGTGTTGATAAAATTTTTTTCCACGATGGGCTAACTTGTCTATCTATTAATAACAGTTGTCAAGTACCCATAACACAAGCACAGCTTAGCTTGGGACTAGATAGCAATGTGTGATTGTCCTGGTTAAAACAAAAAAATGTTGCATAAGATTTTTATTTGTATCTTCAACTACAATTAAACCAATGTCCAATAATACAATAGGAGTATATTTGCAATTGTATGCTGCGGTAATATAATATGAATACGTTTAGTAATGTGACTAATAAATCTGGATTCACTTAGTTTTATTCCGGACGGTACGTGCCACTATACGTTACCTGTTTTGGCGCATTGGTTACTATACAGTAACCAATGCGCCAATCGAACAGTTTGTCAGCACGGATCGTGCGACTCTTATTGGTAATATTTTATTATCGATAATGTTTATTTAGGGTCCACGTGACCCTAAATAAACAATTATTGCAATTAACCATTCTTTAAAATACTCAATACCTTGGCCTACATTAATATTAAAAACAAAAGATTTTTCCATTTGAGGAAAATTATGAATTATCCCAATTTTAATGTATATAAATTCGTAAAGGTTTCGCAGATTTTCCTGTCCTGTGTAAATTCAATCATATTTCAAAAGTACATTTAAAAATGGGATGTAAATGCGAATTCATATAATTCATGACTAGCTGGACACGCGACTTCGTCCGCGTGGAATTTAACTTTACTTATCTGAAATAAAAGTATTTTGTAATTTACAATATTTTTCTGTCTGTCTGCTTGTCTGTTTGTTCCGGCTAATCTCTGAAATGGTTGGACCTATTTTGACGGGACTTTTATTGGAAGGTAGCTGATGTAATAAGAAGTAACATAGGCATATTACTCCTGTTGAAAAATGTTATTTTAGTATATGTACCGTATTTATACTCATATGCATGTAGTAAAAATCGGTTCTTGGTATATGTACCGTATTTATATGCATGTAGTAAAAATCGGTTATTTCAATATTACAAACAGACACTCCAGTTTTATTTATATGTATAGATTTCCTGTTGTTACCGTAGAATTAAAAGCGTCCGGGCTATTGATAATTATGTATGCTGGGTCAAGAATTGTTCGTGGTACAGCGTCGGGTCTACGGGATACTTGAGAAGGAGGTGTATTATCTAAATGTTGAATAATAAAAATTGTGGTAGCTATTGTTGAACGAAAATGTCACTGTTTTATTTAGGACATGTTGAATGGAGCGAAATCGCTTTAATAATAAATCTGCGGGTTTATTTGGACCATGTTGAATGGAGCGAATTATTTTCAATGATAAATCTGCAGGTTTATTTAGGCCATGTTGAATGGAGAGAAATCGCTTTTAATGATAAATCCACAGGTATATTTAGACCATGTTGAATGGAGCGAAATCATTTTTAATGATAAATCCGCGGGTTTATTTAGGCCATGTTGAATGGAGCGAAATCATTTTTAATGATAAATCTGCAGGTTTATTTAGGCCATGTTGAATGGAGCGAAATCATTTTTAATGATAAATCTGCGGATTTATTTAAAAAAATAGTACATATATACAGATGCAAATATATAAAAATACTAATATACCAATATAAAATATATAAGTTTATGGATTACATATAAATAAAATATAAATTTAAACTACATATAATAAATATTCATATCATCATCATATCTCAATAGAAGTTTGGTTGAATACTATTAAAGAAATTTGGGATAATGTAATGTAATAATAATGTAAACATTCATACTCATTAATACAAATGTTTCCGTGTTTGAATCGATCCCGTGACCGTAGAAGTGAAGCGATGTGCTAAACCGTTAAATTAACGCGGTCGTCAATGCAATATAGATATTTTTTCTCGATTTATTCATAGTCATGTTGGCCATGAATACATCGAGACAAAAATCTTACTAATATTATAAATGCAAAAGTACCTCTGTCTGTCTCGCTTTCACTACTCAACCCATTTTAATAAAATTTGGTACACAAATAGTCTAAACACATAGGTTAATGCGAAAATGGGGAAAAAGATTATGGGGTTGCAAGGTTCTATGGAAGAATCGTTATTTTTAAAGCTAGAAGCTTGAAACTTATTTTTTAAGATGTTAATTAATTATAACTAAATATGACATATAAAGTTTAAAGAAAACACCGTAAGAGGGTAAAATAAAATAGGGGATGAAAGTTTGTGTGGAAATACCTTATTTTGAAGCTACAACGCTGAATTTTTTTTTATTTGTGCCACGTCACTATTCACGTCCCAATATCTTATATGTGGCAGATAAATACAGTAATCATATCCTTATATCCTAATCCTAACTAATATTATTTATGCGAAAGTAACTCTATCTGTCTGTCTCTCTCGCTTTGACGCCAAAACTAATGAACCGATTTAAATGAAATTTAGTACACAGATAGTCTAAACGCTGAGAAAAGACATAGGCTAGTTTTTAACGCGAATAAAGGGTTGTAAGGGGTTGAAAAGAGAGATGAAGGGTAGTATGGAAGTATCGTCATTTTATAAAACTAGAATTTTGAAACTTACTTTTAGGCTGTTCATTAAATACTATAATTAAATATGACTAAGTTTGAAAATTGTTACCCTTAAGGGGGTAAAAATAGGGGATGAAAGTTTGTATAAAAAATCGTCTATTTTTAAACTATAACGAGCAATCTTTTTTCTTGCTTTTTTGTGTTAGATTATTACATATTTTTTCTATATTTGGTCAAGGTCACTATAATACGCGGACGAAGACGCGGGGTCAGCTAGTATACATATATATTGAATAAATATGTTACTTGTATTCAAGCTATATTACACAAGAAAGTCTTTCAACGAGATTTTATCCTTATATATTTTTCTTCCATTCATTACACATACTTATAATTCATCCATTTAACTCTCTTTTTATTTTATACATTTAAAAGTCATCAATAATGCTATTACTTTTTTTTTCAAGTGGCTACACTGAAAATCAGCGCTGTAGTGACACGCTGCGGCACCAGCTGACTGGAAGCCCTTCCAGCACATAGCGAAATATTAGTTTTTAAGATTTCTATATTTTTACTCTGTACTGTGATGCTGAATAAATGATTATTATAATTATTTTACAAAAATTCTCATCTCCCCTCTTAAGGAGAGAAGATGGCATTACTCCCGGCAGAAGCACAGTCGGCCGGGGTTCACGGCCCCAGGGAGAGAAACCGGCGTACAATGCGGGCAGAATCTAAGAGCACCGCTTTCTGCATCTTTCCCGGAGTGAGCCGCCTCGGAATCCCAATAATAATCGTTATTATTATTATTATATTCCACGCGGACGAAATCGCGGGCAGAGCTAGTATCTTGTATATCTGATATTGAATATTTTTTCTATTTTATTATTTCATTGAATTAGTGCTAATCGGTGGTTTGTATTCACACACTTAAACTTAAATTGTAAGTAAGAATAAATTATTTAAAATAGCAACACACAAGTTTCTTGCATGCTCTTCTTGTGATGAGACAGCATTCCGAATGAGCGGTAGACTAAAAAAAAA